TATCCAATAATTACGCGCATCATGAAAGTGTTTTGGTTACACAAAAACATGGTATTATTCTGTTATTATGGTAGCATATCTAAGCATTGGCATCAGGATCTGGATGTTGCAGCTTTGTGATTTGATTGTTGTTATTACATACTTTGCTCTCTTAAGCTCTCCCGGCAACAGCGTCTGTTTCGAGAGATCTCCCTTGTCTTTGCTCTCTAAAGCCAGATTGTGTTTTGGCTGCTTCCACAACACTGCAGTCTGTTCCTGGAGACAGCCGTTAACAGCGAGATAAATCAATACCATGAATGGTGTGACTAAAAACAAGGCAGTGCGGAGAGCTGAGAAAGAAAACACTGTGCCTTTGACCAAGGAAGTGGTTAAACTTGTTATTCAGGATGATTGCATTATAAATACACTTTTATCTGACAGGCTGTCTTCCTGTTGTTCTTACACTGACCCAATAAATCCCTGTTTCGCTGACTGTGTTTGTTAGTATTTTTTTTTTGCCTGTTACCACTCCCATCTTGCACGCCTTTTTGACCCTGCAGTCTGATCTAGGAAAGCAATAAACCTGATTAATGTAGAGAATCAGTTTCTTTGTTTTTTCATTTTAAAGAAGCAGATTTTGGATTTGCTTGTCAGTCTGAATGGTCATATCAGATTTCAGGTAGCTTTTCATCATTTAAATTCACTCATTTCAACATGAGGTATTTATGTAGTGCATATTCAGACACATGTTTAGTTTGGTTGTACGGAATCTGTTTATTATAGTGAGACTTTAATTTACAGCTTATTATTCTGCATTTGTGAGGCTTTGTGAACCTGATGTAAGTAACTCTTACTCACTCATGGCTTGATTAAAGTGACAGCTTGTCGTAGAAGGGAGAGACTGATTGAACAGCCTGATCTTAAGAATTGATTGAAGCTTTGATTTCCTGAGGGGAGAAAGTGAAAGAGGGACTTGGGAAGAACGAGTGAAAAGATTCATCCCTTCATGACGCATTGCTCATTTTAGACAATGAGCGCGTTTACATGCACGTTCTTAAGCCGATTATGCTTAATAAGCCGAAAACACGCACTTGGTCATGTAAACGCAGTAACCCATTTTCTTTTATCGGAGTAAGGTCATAAACGGCGTAAGCATAAACCGGTCGCAACAGGTAGTTTTTTGCCTCTTCCTCCGATTTCGCACAGGCATGTAAACCTACGCTCACTCTTACCCTCCCGGCTATCTGCTATGGTTTCATCTTTGCTTCCTTCTCCTGAACAGTTATCATCTCTTGATGTTAACCGTGCTACTGATAGTTTCTGCTCCACTCTTACGTCTTGTTTAGACACTGTCTGCCCCTTGTCTTCCAGGCCAGCTCGTACCACCTCTTCTGCCCCTTGGCTATCTGATGTTCTCCGTGAGCATCGTTCTAAGCTCAGAGCTGCAGAAAGAGTATGGCACAAATCACAAAATCCTACTGACCTTAATGTACAGGTGCATCTCAATAAATTAGAATGTCGTGGAAAAGTTCATTTATTTCAGTAATTCAACTCAAATTGTGAAACTCGTGTATTAAATAAATTCA